AAAGATTCAGAGCTTGCATGAGTGATTCTAAATTTTAATGAATGCATTAAATACTTTCCGAAGTAATTAAAAAAGTTCCGAAGTCAAGAGTTGAATAACTTTGGACATACCAATCTCACAAGATTGAGCTGTGCAGAAAGCTGTACCAAAATCTGTTCCGAAAGCTGTGCTGAAAGCTGTGCTGAAAGCTGTGCTGAAAGCTGTGCTGAAAGCTGTGCTGAAAGCTGTGCTGAAAGCTGTGCTGAAAGCTGTGCTGAAAGCTGTGCTGAAAGCTGTGCTGAAAGCTGTGCTGAAAGCTGTGCTGAAAGCTGTGCTGAAAGCTGTGCTGAAAGCTGTGCTGAAAGCTGTGCTGAAAGCTGTGCTGAAAGCTGTGCTGAAAGCTGTGCTGAAAGCTGTGCTGAAAGCTGTGCTGAAAGCTGTGCTGAAAGCTGTGCTGAAAGCTGTGCTGAAAGCTGTGCTGAAAGCTGTGCTGAAAGCTGTGCTGAAAGCTGTGCTGAAAGCTGTGCTGAAAGCTGTGCCGAAAGCTGTGCCGAAAGCTGTGCCGAATTAGCCGATGTAGGCCGAAATGTACCAATCAAGGTGTCCATATCCCATGAGTTTGGCAACCCTGAAATAATAATGACTTTTGTGATTGTGTTTACGTTCCCATTTTCTTTTATGGTTTATGGCAAACATTTAGCTTCATTCTCATTTGAACGTAAGCGGAGCGGGCAATGGAAAAGGAAGTGGAAACCATCCAACCTATACGGTCCTTTGGTTTGTTTTTTCCGTCGATCTTGTTTTCCGTGCTGAGCACCAATGCTACCGACGTGCCAGGAAGGCAGCTCCCACACCTGGACCCTACCTATCGACCCATCAACTCATGAACCGGGGACCAACGGCGTTACTTCCCATCCGAAGGAAGGCGTGATCAGAGATGTTATGCCTCAGAACATCCCGGTGGCACCGACTGGGATTGAACCCAGCCTGCTGGGGTGAGAGGTAATCACGCTTACCACTACACCACCGGCGCCGTTAACCTATACGGTGTTCAAGCAAATTATACCCATCCAAAAGAAACGTGTACAGAAATGAAGTTGTAACCTTAAATGCTCCCCAAAAAATCAAAACCAGAACTCGAACGGGCGAAAGTTTAATCCTCGAACCAGTTTATCTGATCGACTCAGAAGTACGGGACCTCAAAGACATCACCCAAGTCTATCGTGACGGTGCCACCACCACACGTTCAAGCCTACCAGGTTCACGATCTTACGTAGTTGTAGCATAGAGGTAACTCTAAGATTAGTAGGTCCCGAAGAAACGTGCTCAACTTTTCGGCTCAGCTCTGGTACTCTCTTCGGTCCCAAGCTAATCGATGCACCCCTCGAAACATAGGAAAATCCATGAACCCCTGATTTTATCTGTCAAAATTTCATACCGAATCAAAACAAACATAGTGTAGCGCTAAAATTTTAACTAGAATGGGGTACGTTAATCAATTTGCTTAGGATCAATAGGCTAGTCAAGTAGTAAGTCAATTTAAAATCGTTAGTTTCCACCGGTTGGTTCAACTGCAGACAGAACCCTGTGGTTGTTGTTGCTCATCTGCACGCCCATGGGCTCATGCTGAACAATAAGTTGCTTATGGGCTGTTTATACTAATGCTAGTTCCCACTAGCACGAATTTCAGTTGCTCCTGCAATCTCATTATACTGGGCACTTTTTAGTACAGTGCTAGTACACTAACGCTAGCAAATCGGCACAGATGTAAACACCACAGTAGGGTCATAATGCGGGAACCGTTGACCTCCCCTCTACTGTGAATCAAATTTTAGAGATTGAGCAAGGTCTTACTTGGCTTACAAGAACTGATCGGTAGGCCACCCATAGCATCGGGGCCTCCCCGAGCAAAGTCGGTTAACAAAATGAAAGCAAATCGATATTAAAGTGTGCAGTTCCTATCATAATGAAAACTCATTTTGATTTCAAATGTTGCGACATAAGTCTGATATCATATTGTGCTTTCATTATGCAGTCAAGACGTTTTAAATGAAAGCAACTTAACTTGAAGTTTTGCTGTTTACGTCTTGTTTAAAATTTAATTGAAATTCATCTGTCGTTGAACTAATGATTATCGTTTATCTGATTTGTTTAACACATTTTAGGTCCTTCGTGACTTGCCCGCGGTGAGATTGGAGCCTAAGTCTTTCAGCTTGAGAAACATGAATGGTAACCATTTACTCTAGGCCCGTATTCAGTTAAACATTATGAATGCAAAATCAGTAATCAAATTGATTTCATTGAAAGCAGGATTAGTTTTCCGTTTGCTTCAACAGTGTAAAATTTTGCTCTCATTTTTGCTGTGTTAACCGTTAAGTCAACCAAAATGAGATCAACTGGAGTATTCAAAATAAGTTACATCATAACAGCAAATTTTGATTTCAATTTGATCTTCAGCTTTGCTCGGGTCTTGAGATAAACTATTTCAACAGAAGGATGATTTTGCAGATGCATCTCTGTTGCATCTGCAAAATGACCGGATCGTTCATGATGCGTATGCCCGAGCAAAGTCGGTTAACAAAATGAAAGCAAATCGATATTAAAGTGTGCAGTTCCTATCATAATGAAAACTCATTTTGATTTCATATGTCGCGACATAAGTCTGACATCATATTGTGCTTTCATTATGCAGTCAAGACTTTGTAAATGAAAGCAACTTAACTTGAAGTTCTGCTGTTAACGTCTTGTTTAAAATTTAATTGAAGTTCATCTGTCGTTGAACTAATGATTATTGTTTATTTGTTTTGTTTAACACATTTTAGGTCATTTGTGACTTGCCCGGGGTGAGATTTGAGCCCAAGTCTTTCAGCGTGAGAAGCATGAATGCTAACCATTTCCTCCAGGCCCGTATTCAGTTAAACATTATGAATGCAAAATCAGTAATCAAATTGATTTCATTGAAAGCAGGATTAGTTTTCCGTTTGCTTCAACAGTGTAAAATTTTGCTCTCATTTTTGCTGTGTTAACCGTTAAGTCAACCAAAATGAGATCAACTGGAGTATTCAAAATAAGTTACATCATAACAGCAAATTTTGATTTCAATTTGATCTCCAGCTTTGCTCGGGTGTGCTTGATGTCGGACTCACGGAATGGAATGTAAATGCATTTATCTGTTCCTATAAATCCTATACTACTGCGCTGAGGGAAGCTTCCAGATCTGATAAAATATTTGAGGATAACACGTATCGACATCCCTTAGCAGTACAGGGACTTCTATGAATATCCCAATAAAGTCCTGTGGATTTGCCATCGAAGTAAATAGCCAATTGAAACCAATGACTGTCAAGAATATCTCAGTATAGCCTTAGCTCGTTGGAGGCTATTCAATCAATGCACTCCTCGTATTTCCTGACCGAAATCTGAGCTAAATTGAGTACTTTATCTAACTGCTCCTATAATATCACCTTAGTTTGGGTCCCATCTCATTGCTCAATTCCGGGTAATGAGAAAGCGGACTCGCTAGCTAAGGTGGGCGCTATGGAAAGCGATATTTTTGATCGACAAATCGCCTTTGCGGAATTTTTCTCAATTACCCGTCAGCACGTCCTCACTAACTGGCAACACAAATGGAATGAGAGTGATCTGGGAAGATGGTTACATTCTGTTCTCCCACAGGTATCGAACAAGCCATGGTTCAAAGGATTGGACATTAACCGTTACTTTATACGTGTCATGTCAAGGCTCATGTCTAATCACTACTCGTTAGACTCGCATTTCTTCCGAATCGGGCTCGCAGGCAGCAATTTATGCGCTTGTGGTAGTGGCTATCACGATATCGACCACGTGCTTTGGTCATGCACCCTACATTGTGTTGCTAGATCCGAGTTATCCGCATCCCTCAGGGCCCAAGGAAAACAACCTTTGCGGTTAGAGACATTTTGGTGAGCCGAGATCTCGATTATTTTAATTTAATTTATGTGTTTTTAAAACGGATCGATCTGAGGATTTAGTAGTTAGTGTCATCTTGTGTTCTCTCAAGTTGCTAGGTCTCCATCGGCGTACCCCCATGTTTGTCTTTTTCTCCAGTATGTCGCTTAGTTCTAGATCAAGAGCACATTGCTCTAAAAAACCTTGTGTTCTCAATCCCTACCCTGCCACCTGTTTGTTACAATTTGTTACCCCTAACCTCGAGATAGCCGCGAGTAATCGGCCCCCGCTTTACTAACGTTAGTTTTAAGTTATTTTGTAACCCAAACGATGAATATCGGCTCCGCAAAGCTACGGCAAATGAGCCTTGAAAAATAAACGCATTAAAAAAAAGAATAGATGAGGAAAAATGCAGGGGGACACGAGAAAATGTCCATCCCGAAAGACCCATGGCAAGACCGGGATTTGAACCTGTACAGTAATTTGACCATCCGTCGCTGGATGTAACCCATTTCGGCCGTCTGCCGTATCGACAAGACGTTCTCTACCAACCCATAATCTGGAAGAACTCTGCTGGTGTGAGGCCCGAATAGAAGCTATACAGGGGAAATGGATGTAATGTCGGCCTAAATGCCCCTAATTTGGGCCCATACATAAATTCAGCAATCGACTAAATTTTCAATAGCGGCAAAAAATAGTAGTACCGTCCAATTGACGCGTTCATCTAGATAAAATTGATAAAAAGCAGATTTTTAGCGATGGGCCCAATCTTAGATCCATATGCCAACATTAGAGCCATTTCCTCTGTATAGACTGTTTGTGTCCTACTTGTCAACGTGTGTCGTAGCGTTCCGAACAGTTTGCCCCTCGGCAAAATTATTTGTCCTTGAAAGATTTGTTTGAAATTAAAACCACAGGATGGATTCTGGACTATTCTAAGCGATTCCTTTCCAAATATTATCGAATTAATCTTGCTCAGATCAAAAACACCGATTATTCTACCGGAATGAGCTTCTCAAAACGTTCTGTTTTCACCGAAAACGTCGACTTACACAGTTTAACAAACTCCACTTTCTTCTTCCTCTCCATTTCAGGAACTCGCAAAGCGCTCTCTGCAATGGCTCCATCATGACAAACGGACAGACCAAGGACTCCAACCTGCGGAAAGTCCTCAACAATAGCGAAAATGGACAAAAGAAGGGCATGGTAAGTCTTCAACTGTCACCGAACCAAGTAGCCCATGGGTGTAACAGGTAAACAGAAACAATTCAAAAATGCGACATCTGCAATAAATTTCGTGTGTTACCAAGTGCCTTAAGCTTGTATCAATTCCGGATTCGATAACGATGCCTTCTGTCGGTAGGCTATTGGTAATAATCATACGTTATATCTGGTGCGATTAGTTAATCGATCAAGCGATAAAATCACGCGCTACTGAATGAATATCAGTCAGCCGCGTCGAACGGTCACACTTCATTATTCTTATTTAATCGTTTAAATCGTTGGACTATCGAATACGTGAATCCGACTCATTCTTGAGGCGGGCTTATCTCGCCCGCCCCTATTGTCTATATTTCCGCGGGAATCGTGAAATGGAATGCCCCACGTTCGATTGAGATTACCTTTTTTTGTTGGTCAAAGTCCACCGATGACGGTCAAACTCAATCAAATGAAATTAACGTTTTGATTTCGCCCGCGCAGGTCTCGCTAACTCACCTACCAAAGAGGCCCCCGATCGACATCGAGTTCAATGAGCTAGCCTACTCGGTGTCCGAGGGCCACAAACGGAGCTACAAAACAATCCTCAAAGGCATCAATGGGAAGTTCCGCTCCGGCGAACTTACCGCCATCATGGGTCCGTCCGGGGCCGGCAAGAGTACCCTCATGAACATCCTCGCCGGCTACAAGTATGACTCCCGGTTCAGCACAAAGTAGCATGATTCTCATATTGATTTCTGTTTCTTCGTAGAACCTCCAACCTGATAGGTTCGGTCCTGATCAACGGCAAGGACCGAAACCTGCGCAAGTTCCGCAAGCTATCCTGCTACATCATGCAGGATGACCGGTTGTTGCCGTACCTGAGCGTACGGGAAGCGATGATGGTCTCGGCCAACCTAAAGCTCGGCAAGGACATTTCGCTGCAACTGAAGAAAGAAATCGTCGAGGAAATCATCGACACACTGGGTCTGCTGGAGGCGGCCAACACCCTGGCGCTGAACCTTTCCGGTGGCCAGCGGAAGCGACTGTCAATCGCCTTAGAATTAGTGAATAATCCACCTGTAATGTTTTTCGACGAGCCAACCAGCGGACTGGACAGTGCCACCTGTTCGCAGTTGATCTACCTGCTCAAATCTCTGGCCCGTGGAGGCAGAACCATTGTCTGCACGATCCATCAACCGTCGGCGAGAATATTCGAAATGTTCGATAATCTGTACGTGCTGGCCGAGGGGCAGTGCATCTACCAGGGTAGGGTAAACGGACTGGTGCCATTCCTGGCTTCGATCGGACTCGAATGTCCCAGCTATCACAATCCCGCAAATTATGGTAGGTTGTCCTCTTGTTTTCCAATCAAATCGAATTAATTGCATAACATTGATTTGTTCATCAATCTGACAGTGATGGAAGTGGCCTGCGGTGAGCACGGCGACTGGAACAGTAAACTTGTGACGGCGGTCAGCAACGGCAAGTGCAACAACTACAATCAACCGGTATTAGCTCAAGGCAAGTCGCAGAAAAATGTAGCACTAGAAGAGGACCAACCGGCGGAGAAAATCGTGACCGTCCTGTCGCTGGGGGCCGGCGAAGATGATCTGGTTAAAGCATCTGCGGTCGAGTTTACCACCATCAACATCGAACCGTTGAATAATGAAAGTAAATTTTCGTCCTCGGCCGTAGTTAGCAGCAATAAAACAACGGGTGACGACTCGGTTGGAACGAGTACGATGGTGGTGGTGTCCTTGGGGAAAGGAACTGCCGACGGTGCCGCCGGTACTGCGTCTGCCGCCGGCGGCAATGGAGCACCACCATCCGTATCCACCAAACCAACCTGCACTACGTCGCTGCTGGACTCGACCGAAAGCGTTAGCATTGCGGTGCCGAAGAAGCTGACCGGATTTCCCACGTCCGGCTGGATGCAGTTTTGGATTCTGCTGAAGCGAACCTTCATCACCATCATGCGGGATCAAACACTGACACAGATGCGGCTGGTTTCGCACGTGGTCGTCGGCGCGATCATCGGCATGATCTACTACGACATCGGAAACGATGCCGCCAAAATCATGAGTAACGCTGGTTGCATATTCTTCACCACCATGTTCACGATGTTCACCGCCATGATGCCGACCATTCTGACGTGTAAGTTGGATCATTTTGGAGGTGTATGGGAGACGCAGCAGGATTTGTTTGAATTCGTTTTTTTTTCTGTTTTAGTTCCAACCGAAATGGCCGTCTTTGTGAGGGAACATCTCAACTATTGGTACTCACTGAAATCATTCTACTTTGCGAAAACCGTTGCTGATCTTCCATTTCAAGTAAGTATCCACTATCGCTAAGTATCAGTCTCTACTATAAACTGCTCAAATTACATTAGTCAGCAATATTTTGCTACTTTCATAATTAAAAATATTGAAAATCTAAAAAGTTGGCCTATATGATCACACAAAAACTCTGGTATCTCTTCAATTGTCGAATGATCACACAAAATGCTCAACGAAGCATGATTTCTCTTTCTGCCTTACTTGTCGAAAACTGTAATTGAATGTTTTCAAAAGTGATCTATGATTCAACACCAATATTAAAACCAAATTTACGCAGCACCTTTGGTAGATTAATTTACGAAAATTTAAAAAAATATGGATACCAAAATCACTTAAGTGGAATAGAACGGAAGATACCCTCTTATGCTGTTCTATTTAACAAATATTAAGTTCGTCACAGAACCTTTATTTTATATTGTCCCTACTTTCAATTAATAAAGGTTGATCACGAAAAAATCCAGACACGATAATCTTGTTAGGGTTTACAAATGGGTTTTAGTTTTTCATACGTCAATGTAACAGCTATACATTAGGCCGATCGCAATACTGTTATAATTGATATGGACTGTTTCAATTCGAAACTAGAACAGAAACGCACCCCCCGCAATGCTGTGTTGCAGTTTCATTATTTGAGAACTAGTTTGCACCTTATTTGCAACTGCTCGACTGTTCTGTTTTATTTATGAGAGGGTTTGAAACATGAATGGAACTCTGTTTCAAATTTCTTTCGATGTATTTGTGGAGCTTCTAATCTGACAGATGGCGGCGGCCAGGGAAAAACGAGATGACGAAACGAAAAGTCGACAAATTTATCTAGCAAATAAATTTGCTTTACATCATAGACATCTTTCAAGAAACCAGATGACTCCTAATTTTCTCTAAGATATTCAGGTGATTAGAAATATACAAAAACTTCTCTGGATATTTTTTCAATACTTCTGGTTCGTCAATTATTCTGAAGATCTTCTCCAATAATTCAAATCACGTCTCTCATATATCCTCTTATGATACCATGTTGCTCAGAAATTATTCCAAAGACCATCATTAAATCCTCAGGATATTTGTTCATGACTTCAGGTTAAATATGTACTATTCTGATAAATCAATTAAAATTGCGTCTCTCGGATATTCTCTTATGATACCACGTGACTCAGAAATTATACCAAACATCATCAGGTGATCAGATCTGACCAGATCGGCTCTCCAAAAAATTCTTCTGGATGATCAACTATTATTCTGAAGATCTTCAACTGTCCAACATTCAACTAACGTCTCTCAGGGATGTCTCAAAAATTATTCCAAAGGCCTTCGCGTGCTTATAGGTTTCCAAAAACTTCTCAGGATATTTTCTCAATAATTCAGGATGATCAAATATCAGACATTCTCTAGGTGTCTCAGAAATTATTGCAAACCGTTCAGGTGCTCATAGGTCTCCAATAACTTTTCATGATATTTTTCCAATAATTAAGTTTTATTCTAAATATTCAACTGTCCAACAATTCAAATAACGTCTCTCAGGTATTCTCTCGTGATACCAGGTTTCTCAGAAATTATTGCAAAAACCTTCAGGTACGCACAGGTCTTCAGGATATTTTTTAATACTTCAGGATGATCAAGTATTATTCTGAAGATCTTTAGCTGTCCAACAATTCAAATACCAAAAATATTCTCTCAGAGATTTTCTCGTGATATCAGCTGTCTCAGAAATAATTGGAAAGACCTTCAGGTGCCCATAGGTCTCCAAACACATTTCTGGATATTTTTTCCAAGACATCCTGGTTCAGTGAAACCCTGCATGTTTTGACAGCAGAATCGTCCGGGACCCGTAGTTTGAACTCGTTACCTGACACTGGATTACGTTGTTGTAATCATCTTGTTCCAGGAAACATTCATAAGAATCACCTTCTCCGTTTTGAAACTCAGCATTGCGAACGGCTTAAGTAGGTATCATGCTTATTGTAAGACCATTGGCTCAGTCTTCCTTCTTACCATAGGCCATTGCTCGAACGTTTCCTTGCACGAGTCCAAATTCCATAATCCTTCAGGTCAATTCAAGAGCCACATGTGAAAAGGGCATACAAGCTTTTTGTAAACAAACCTTTGTAGGCCCTTTTCTCGCCAACCGAGGGTCGCCCACGCAAACCAACAACTTCATCGGGAAGGGGAAAGCTTCCTCTCGATGTTAATGTTAATGGTATGCGTTGGTGCCATATGGGTCGCGAGAAAAGGGCATAAGAAGGTTTGTTTACAAAAAGCTTGTATGTCCTTTTCACATGTTGTTCTTGAATTGCAGTGCAACCCTTTTTCTTCAGTATGTGCTTCACAATTGACCAGTATTCCTCAATTGACCTTAGTTCCACCGTAGCGGCAGGATTCATCTCCTTGGGAACCATTGTGATGCCATTTTCGCTGTATCACTGTTTGGTGGAATTTGAGTAGTGGAAGCTGGCCAAGTCCGGCCAGAATAGACAATGGACCTCATTCTGCTCCAGAAAAGGCAGTTGTCTCTTCCGTAGGCACTCCTACTGGTAAATTTGTTGGTTCATGGTCCCAGCAATGGCGAAAGTTTCGTTTTTTAGCTGACAACTGCAGATTGCGTACCAGACAAGGAACTTTTTGGGGAATTTCGACTTCTATTTTATTTGACATTCTTCCGGGCACTCTTCCGGTCAACCGAGGTATATAATTCATGCACAGGAATTTGATTGAAAACTGCCAGTAGCGGATAGACCGGGATTTTTTTTTCGAGAGTGCAGGATCGAATCGAGACGTGATTACTCCGATGAAGCCATGATGTAAACAAATGAACCTATCCTTACAATCAATGCCTACTGTGATTCTATACACTTTTAGCTTGATTCAGTTACATTTTGAAACTTGTTACACAAAACCTGCCTTACACGCTAAGATCAGTTTACCTAGACGGTACAAAGAGATTACCGAGATTGGCCGTAAATTGCACAAACTCACATATGGGTAATTTTTTTAACCCAAATATGGGTTCTTATGAACCATAAATGATTTATTTTTATGCAAATTTGACTTAAATTTACCCATATTTGGGTTAAACAATTTACCTATATCTGAGTTTGTGCAGTTTACGCCTAATTTGGGTAAAGTAAACCTACATTTGGGTTATCTGATCTTAGCGTGTAGGGCATCTTTAGTGGCGGTCAAATTGGCTGATTTGGTCTAAAATTTTGTGGAACAGATCCAGACCGAGCCCTTGCACCGATACATTTTGTTTTAGACTAGCTCTAAAATTTAAATTTATTAAACCAGTATAATTCTTCATCTATGTTGAACTGAATTTGGATCAAGGCAAGCACTGTGTCAAACCAGTTTGACAGCTGTTCTACTCGAGGTTTTGTTTTGTTTGCTTTCGGTTCTGGGATTTTTTCTGCAAAACAAACCGATGTTTTCTTCGATTTTCTCCGAAACGAAGGCGGTTCCTTCATAATGGTCATAGCGAAATACAATTGACTGCTGCTGATACTGGTGGAGTTCCAGGTTCATCGCACTACCGATGCCGCTGTTGCTATCGGCAGCGTCGTCGTCGCAAATCCAAAAGCATCACAAGGGAAGGATCAAGTAGGGAACATCCGGAATAGAACGGCCAAAACTAGACCAACCGGTGCGTTCGCACGCAGTTTGATCCATTTTAGCTTGATCTATTTCATTTTAGCTGTTTCAAATGTGACATAAATTTGGATCTAGATCAGACCACGGCTAATGATGCCCTTAATGGCAGCGTTTTTAATGTGTCCGGATTTTTTCGTGTTCAACCTTTAATATCATGGTAAAATTTCAACTGAGACATGATAGTATAGGTATGTACTTTTCCTTCTGTCTGAAGATGAGAAGGGGATATAGCTCAGTGGTAGAGCGTTCGCTTTGCATGTGAAAGGCCCCGAGTTCGATCCCCGGTATCTCCAATTATTTTAGTTGATATTTTTTCATCTACCACACTGCCCATAAACGCATAACAGTCCCACGTGGTTTTTCACCACTTTTTAAGATACATTCATGAAACATCTGTAAATTATATGTACTTTCAATAATTCAAAAGAAAAAAAACTACGATTAATGATGATGATTGATGATTATTGAGACTACCACTCACGTAGCAAGGCGCCTGCACATAGCAATCGGCTGTCCTTGCAGGACGACTTGATCAAGATCCACTGTCATAATTATACTCAACTTGTCGCTGTATGAGAGGGACCGTAAGCAGAGGCTCCTGCCAGCAATCAAAATCATACAATCTGAAGTGGAACGAGCCATCGTTTTAAAGGATGCCCCTGTGAGTGGGGAGAAGAGCCCACCCTCATGCTCCCGAAAGTTCTTTATTTTTACTTGTTTGTAAATATTCTATTTCCGTGGAATGCTTTACATCGTTGTTTTGGAGCAATCCTCAATACTCTGTTTCTTCGTGTGCTCCTTAGAATTTTCACTTCCCTTAAATACTCATCAGAATTCCCTGTAAATTGTACTAAAATTTCCATTGGATTTTTCCTTAGAATTATAAAAAAAATCACTTCGAAAATTCCCATTGGAAATGGTCCAATACATTCCTTGAATACTTTTCAGATTAGGTTACTTTATTAAAGAGACTGGCTGGTTCGTCTGTGGGAACACCAGAAGGGGGTTCTCCAAGCGACAGAGTTTTAAAATTTGGGCATCAACGGAAAGGAGGGTGGGCCCCAGAAGGGGGTCCTCCTAATACAGGTTTGAATCAGAGTGCTGTATGCCGTCTAGTTTGCTGTCAAGTAGCCTTCGTGATATTAAATGGTTGCTTGTGGATGAGTCCTGGTTGTGCCGTAGGTCTGTTGGGGTCAGTAGTCCGGGTTTTGGTGCGCAGAATACTCTTCAAAATCCACCCGGTTAGGTTCATAGTGACCTAGTGAGGGGGATTTCGGTGATTTTGCATAAAATAAGGAAAGTCGGTACTCACCTTTTCCAAATCGATAGCGGTGGCATTACAAACACGAACT